CAGCATCCCAGGGCCACAGGGGTTATTTGTTACCTGTGGGCTGTGCCCTGAACCAGCCCATTCTCCAAGGGATGAGCAGGCACTCGTGAGCTGTGTCCCTGGTTTTGGGTGCTCTGAGCAGTAAAACCTGGGAGGATTTATAAACTTCACTGCTTACCCAAAATAGCCTAATGGGCAGTACCACAGCCATGAGATCATTTTAATAACCCCCACTGCATGGCAAGCATTATTTTAAAGGTGATAAACAGCTACAAAGATGTCTGATAGAAATAGAAATAATTTGATAAATAATGCAATTGCCTGGAGTTGTGGCATGAAGCAAAGTTGCTGTTAGGCTAAAAATTGCTCCAGATATCCCTGCCAAGGAACTCTGGGAAAAGAGGGAACAAATACACTGCTGAGACTGCAGTCAGGGCTGCCTGATGCCTCTGCTTTCTTCTCTGCTTCCAGCCCCCAGCCCAGCCACGGCATACAATAGGCCATTCATCATGTCAGCTGAAATACACTGTTTTTCACAGGTACATTTAACCCAAATCCTCTCTCAGAAGACGGATTATCTCTTAGAAGAACTCTGGCACCAGTGTCTCTTTTCAATAGCCACGTCACCACTGGCACAAAGGCTGTACATGAAGGGATCAATGGTAGTTTTATCTCAAATTGCACTCAGTGTGTGTTTCTTCCAGCTGACATTCATTTAAATGCTTGCTCTAAGACATCTTTTCTCCCTGTAATAGAAAAAGGATGGGACATCCTAAGCATTGTTTAGTGGGGGAAAAAATTATTTAAAATATTCACTTGGCTAAGCATGAAATATTTCAGCTGCGCGTGTTTAATCAGGAGTGAAAGCAAGGGTAGTTATGCTTGTATTTCATAAATTAAAATGCTAAAATGATTAGATAAGAAAACAAAATACCTTACTCCATTGCAGCCGTGCTAATGAAACCATTTGAGAGGGAAAAAAAAATAAAGAAAAAGAAAAAAGTCACTTTATAATTCTGAGCACTTTTGCTGTGAAGGAGCACAGAGCTGTGATTGCAGTGCTGGGGCTGAGCTGGGTCCCTCGGGAAGGGGAGGAACACCCAGGCTGCCACATGCTCTGCATTTGTACTCCATTCATGTTCCATTCATATTCCATTCATATTCCATTCATACCCACATGTTTCCACCTGCTGAACAGAAAAATAGAGGGCAAGCTGTGAGGAATGCACTGAGGGATCCCTGCCGTGCCACCTGGCTGAGCAGGGCTGTGGGACCAGGAACCATTCCTG